CCACAAGGCAGTATAGAAGCTGATATAGAAATATTATCATTGTTAATAAAGGACAGACACTTGCCAGCTGCTAGCCCACCACATCTGTAACTAGGGCTGGGTATTGTCAGCAATTTCACAACACAATCCGTAACACCATACAATGACAAAACCCACCAGATGTACCAGATTTTCAGTCAGTGTTTACTAGGGGGGCAGGAAAAAATCGATTCTTAGATGCATCGCGATGCGGACGTGAACAATTCTGAATCGATTCACAAATGTCAAAAATCGATTTTCTAAATATTTAATTTATAACGTAATGTTGGCGGAACGCAAAAGGCGGAACTTGGAAGTGGGTAAGTGCAGCTCCTGGAAAGTCTGTGGCGGCACATAACAAAAACACTACTGGATGAGTGAGAAATCCGACCGGCTCCCTCTGCATTAAAAGCCAGGTTAGGTCAGGAGTCACAACACAAATGTTAAGAAGAGCCATTTTGTCCTTTAACATAAATCAAACCACCTTGGGAGCCACAACATTTAATGTCTAGTATGTCTCAGTATGTGATAATGTCCTAGTACAGACTAAACAATATAAACGAGAGCGCACATTTACTTCGCTCTGCTTTAAGCTTTAGCTACAGCCACTTTCCTCCCATCTCCGCCAGAAAACTTTTCCTCAAAAGTAGATCAGTTTCTTGTAAAATGTTCGACTGTTTTACGAGGCTGAAGTCTCGCTGCAGATTTAACTTACCAGGAAACCAACTGCGCTGCTTATAAATGTGAATAACGCATTGTTGCTATGTGACCTGCAGTCTGCATGCCGGTTCTCAGTCGTTGCGAAACAGGGCTTTCGCGCTATGCTGCACACGTCCCGTTTCAAAGATACTTTACTGACACAGCGACCCTCCCCTAATCTAATGAAAACGGGTAGAATAGCTGTAACATGCTGCGTGGACATCCACTGCCACTGGATCTTATTTCACCGTAACTGCGCATTTTATTGCAGTTGAGTAGCAGCAGCTTCTTGTGCTGCAAGCAAGAGCAGTGAATGAGAGCCTTCTAGTTCACTTACCACATCACTTCCATTTGTTTTATTAATAAAAGATATTGGAAGTAAATTCATTATGGATCATTACAAATACTTTGCTTTGAAAGTACCAAGTCACTTTAAATAACAATAACACAGAGTCACTTAGTCACTTTAAAATGTATATTGTTTCTATATTCTGTGTATATTTTGTGTATATTTAATATATTTCAGTTGTTTTTTCTTGTATTTTTATTTTTACTTATTTACTTTCTGTAGAGTGATTAGCTGAGCCTCACCACAAGCATTTCAGTGCATAAATGTCCTGACATGTTGTGCAAATGACAAATAAACTTGAAACTTGAACTCGAAACTTGAGCTCACACAGTGAGAAAATATAAATGCTATATAGAAAAAAAGATGCATCGAGATGCATCGATAATCGTTTTATAATCGCATCACAGCCCTCTGAATCGTAATCGAATCGTGAGGTGCCTAGAGATTCCCACCCCTAGTGTTTACCTAAAATTTTGTTTTAACTGCTGGATGGATGGTTGGATGGATAGGGATGGATGGATGGATTAATAGGTAGATAATTGTGGGGAGAATGATAATGACATATGAATACTTAAATGTTAAGGTAAGTTTAAAAAAATATATATGCAAGAATAATAAATAAACAGTGCTTCTAAGAACTATGTTATAGGTGGGGTTTACTCTGAGGTGCTGGTCAGAGCACAGAGAGACCAGAGGAATGAACTTAATGCACTTTTAATCACCGAAGCAGCCTGGGAGGCAGTACTCACTGTATCAACGTGTATCGCCACAAGCTTATCCACCAAATATTGCTGTATTGATATTTTACACTCCTACTTTTAACATGACCTTTCTTATTCTTGCTCTCTACTGTTCTTGCTAGAAAAATAGGGGTGCAGTTTCTTCTAGTGTTGCGTATCAAAATTATGCTCAAAATTCCTCTATGCCAATACGGATGCCTTGACATCAATATCGATTCCTGAACAATGCGTTTCTAAATACCTTCTTTTAAATTACAAACAGAAAGTGGGTGTGGTTTAAACCAGAAAAGAGAGTGGTGCTGGAAGTGTCTATATTTACTGATGGATTTGCAGGCTAATTCCACGAAAGTATTGAATTTCAGCCCTAGTTTCTTCACACATTTGCTTGGTGACTGTATGCATCCATTTGAGGTGGGAATATGCAAAAAGCAGCTTATAGATTAATTTGGCCTGTTTCTAATGAAAGCCAGGGTCGATGTCACAACTGGAGCCATTTCTGAAGCTCTCATAAAACTGTGATAAAAACAGGGAAATGCATTCCATGCATTCACATTTTGAAAGTAATTTCTTAGGTTTCCAGAGGAGAAGGAACAGAGAAAGCTCATTTATGACTCCTTCAAGTTGCATTAAACAATGGCTTGCTGGGGTTTGTGAGGGCTTTGTGTGCTTTCCAGACACATAATCAAACCAGATGGTGTGTGATTGTGAAATAGCTTTACTCTGTTAGTGTTGTGAACCTTCTAATGTGCCCGCAGGAGTAAACATAATAAGTTATGAAGACCTCATAGTGAGAGTGCATGTGTTAATGGCTCAGCGCCGCAGGCTCTTTTGTCTGTTAAGGTTATGTGTGTGTCTCCCATGAGGCGTGGAAAGTTGGTACTGCTTCATGGCCTGTTACGACAGGACACATTCCTGCTGTAACAGACTCTGGCAGTCCATGCTGGATCTAGAAAGGTTCAGAGGGGAGAAAGGTGCCTCTTCCACTGCCTGACTGGAAAAGTTAGCTTTAGTCTTCTCGCATAGGCTCAAATATTGGGACACATGGACCACTGAGATTGAACATTTAGAGTTAGGTGCTTCTGCCAGACAGTGGGTTAAGAGTGGAATGTAAGGCTACTAATGGCTATTTTATTATCAGTGAAATTATCAACTATTGATTAATTAAGTAACTAGGGCTAGGATGATAAGCAATTTGTATTGTATGATGTTATCGGAATCACACTGGTACCAGCATTTGCTTAAAAAATATTGGCATTGGGCAGATGTTTGACCGATTTCAAACCGTCATTTGACGTATTTGACGTACTCTGGAAGATCAGAATATTTGGGTGTTGCTGGACTAAAATATCTGCACTTGAACCCTCTACAAGAAAGCATTACATTTCTCTGTAATGCTAATCCAGGTAGATGAAGTCCTAATATTTACATTTGTAAATGTTTATGTATTGACACCGGTATCGGCATCAGCAGCTGTACATGAAAAATACTGGAAATGGTATCAACTAGAATTCCTAAAATTCGTGCATCCCTAGAAATTAATTTGGGACAGAATTATTGATGACTATCCATATTTTCATTATTTTAAAACGGTGGGTATTTCACATATTCAGTATACCTGGGACAGTTTCTGTCTGCACCAGAGCATCAGCAAATTCACTAGAAAAATCACTATTTTAGCTGAATGGGTTGTACCAGAATTGTTATAAAGGAGAAGACTGGTCACTGGTTGAGAAATGAATTGGAAAGCTTGTAACGCTCATCTTGGCATCTGTTTATGGGAAAGTCCCAACCTTCGATTAAAAAAAAGATCCAGTCAGCTTGTTGGTAAAGCAGAAAGTGAGAAAACTCCATCCCTGTAGCTAGAACAAGCTGAAAAATGTGTTTTTTGTGTTATTTGAGCCAAACACTACAAACTATTTAAGCTGTTTTTTTTTTACCAGTGTTTTAAAAATATATATGTTTTTGAAGTGTTAATTTGGCTTTTAGTTTTGGGTTTATAGGTCTCTCCATTCAAAGAGACAGAAATCTGGTCTTGTATGAGTGGAAGTGACTGCCTGTCTGTCTTTGAGTAGCATTGGCTAAAGCTGCATGTAATTTATAGTTCCGTCTGTCCAACAGTTGATTTCTTTGTTTATGATGCAACAAAATAAGAGAAGCCATATTTCCCCACACACTTCCCATAGTGTACTGCAGTGTGGTGTAATGTGGTGACTGCATGCATCATATAAACATTTTTGAGCATGATGATTTTAAAAGAATAGTTTGCCAAAAAATCTGATTTACACAATTTCCAACTTACCTAACATGCAGTTGATCAGCCAAGGCATTTCGCACACAGCTACATTCATCACCTTTTTGCTGTTGTCATGGCAACATGGACCCTACTCTGACCCACATGACAGGATCACCTGTCACCACTGAACCAAATGCTCAGGTTGTCCACAGAGACACCCCTTCAAAACACACACACACACACCAGACAGAGAGCCCTTTGAGTGAAATGTGCATCTCGTTTGCTCCTTTCCTCTCCTCTCTGCACTTCATTTATCATCAGTGCAGCCCATGTAGACCTTTAATGGAGTAAATGAGTATCTGCTTGTTTGCCACAGAGGGAAAATCCACAAGCTTTTACTTTCGCATAGTCACATTATGAGAAGAACTCACATAATACTAGCCAGGACATGCCCTCTATAAACATTTTCATATGCACAGACAAACGCACATTGATTCTCTCTCTCTCTCTCTCTCTCTCTCTCTCTCTCTTAAAAACACATACACTTACATGCTGGATTTTATGACTCATCACCCAAACAAGGCCTCTTGCTCATATTCTCCACCCAGTTAAGATCTATCTGAATGACTAAATGCAATTTTAGAGGACATATGAACGTGTTTCACCCTGTTGGAGAGAAGTTAGGATCAATTTCTAGTCCTAAACTTTGAAGAGGGATTTTTCCAGCCTCCTTTTTCTGTGTTGTAGCCAGAGTTTCCTTGAAGTGGGGAATTCTTTTGTCATTTATGTGCTCATTTGTTTGTTTCTACCAGCTGTTTTGATGCCCTCACTAATGAATGTGGAATGATTAAATGTTCATCAACATAAGCCATCTAGTGGACAAACTCTGTCAGAGCATTTGCAACTGAAGGAGTCAGTGGCTTTGCTGACTGACCTCTGCGTTCCCACTGTTCTCTCTCAGGTAATGAGTGATGATGGAAGCAGGCTCGGTGGTGCGTGCTGTGTTTGAGTTTCTGCCCAGCGTCTCGGAGGAGCTTCCTCTCTTTGCTGGTGATGTGGTTGAAGTCCTTAGTGTGGTGGATGAGTTTTGGCTGCTTGGAATCAAAGATGGAGTCACAGGTACAGTTCCACAGCTCACTTCACAAATAACTTTATTCAGCAAGTATCAGGAATGTAAATGCCTGATGATTCAGTTTGATTAGGATACTAATTTCACCCACAATCTTTGTTATTTTGTTACAGTTCAGATTTTTTTTAAAAAGCACTGAATTTGCAAATGTCACAGGAGGAACTACTTACACAGTAGTAAAATATAGACAGTCTTATAAAATGAATGAAATAAGCACATACTATATTTGATATTACTAGAATTAATTGTTATTTGTAACAGAGATCTAACATTTCGAAATTGATACAGTAGAATTATCACATTCAGGTTGGTGCATTTTGACATATTGAAGCAATACACCCCTAACACATATATGGAAGAGTACAGCACTGTATAAAAGTCAGAGACCACTGTTTATTTATTTTTCAGTCAAAACTGGTGATAAGTACAGGTTATTCATTTGTCATAATCAGGGGAAAAAGCAGAAAACATGTACTTGACAAAAAAGTTACACAAAAGCCAAACAACTAAAAATAATATCATTTTTTCAGAATTTAGTGTGTCCACTGTATACCTGTATTAGAGCGTCCATTCTTGTCAGGAGTCTTGCTTTCAGTTCTTCAAAAAAACCACAGGGGTATTTTTCCACACTTCCAAAATTCAGTTTTAGAAGTTGGTTTCATCTTTTGCTTCTCACCATCCAAATAATCCTAAACACATCCAAAGGCGTTGAGGTCTGGTACTGTTTATCTGACCATGACAGTTTTGGTGGTGTACCAGGTGTTGCCATAATCTCTTAAGAATTTTTTGAATTCTAGTTTTAGAAACACCTGTTTTTCACTTCCTTTTTTCCTTTTTTTGACTTCCTTATGCAAGTGGATTATCTTATCTTCTCAAATTATCTCCTGAAAAACTTGTCATCACAAGAATACAAAAAACCCAACAAGAGACAGTTACAGAAAACAATAGTGTGTAAATACACTCTTTATAGTGTGAGTTACATATACTCAGAATGTTAAGAAGTATGTGAATGTGCATATAAAACACTAACTTTTACTTCTTTGGTTTCCACTGCCCCTCTCTGTCGTTTCTCAGGTCAGTTCCCCAGCACTTTTGTTGAATCTGTCACCATCCCCACTACGAAGGCAGGAGAGCAACTCTACGTATGCATCAGTGACTTCAACTCTTTGGAGCCAGGCAACCTGCCCCTGAAGAGAGGTGAATATCTCACCAAGTATGAGACATGTGCTGTGCCTAAGAACTCCATTACAGTATTTCACATGTGTGTTATACAGATGTATTTAACGGTCTTGTTGGTTCCTGTATGTTGTTGTCTCTCCCGTATTTCACAGCGTAAAACCCCCACATACGAAAAAGGAATAATGTCATGTTTGGGAGGTAATCTTTTTGAAGTTTATGGAATCCTGTCTTAAGCCATTCTTCTAGTAACATAGTTTCTTAGAAAATTACTTCCTGGTTTGTCTCTTCATATGCTTGCTGTGTTCTTTGGTGTAGAGGTACTTGGTAAAAGACTAAAACAGTCAAACTGTAAATGTAATTGTACATAAAAACAAAGAGCTTTTATGTATAATCACATACATGCCTCTACGTTTATCTCCACTATATGTTTTAGTGAGAATCCTCACCCCTGGTAGTCTTGATCTAAATGACCACTAGATGTCACTAGTTTAATGCTTTTCGATGACTTCTTCATCCTATTGTTCATGAGGAAATTCCTTTTGTTACTTTGTCGTGTCGATCATTTGTATGTCTTTATCATTCTCTAGCACATTTTCAGATGCTTCAGAATGTAACATTGTGTGTGGTGATCTGTGGTGTATTGGTTTACTGGTTGTTAGATGTTAAAGTCCTTTCCCTGTATGTAATATTCAGCGTGGACAGTGTGTGTGGAAACTCCAATTCCTGTAGTTGTTTTTCTGTGAAAGAGTGTGAGTTGAATTATATTTCCTGTATATCACTCTGTGGAGCTCCTGAGTGTTTTAGTTTATGTGCTGGACACAATAGGAGGTGGAGCCGGGCTGTGTGGAATTTGACCTCGGTGACCTCAACGGACACTCTGTCTCCTGGCAGCTCAGACCTGTGTATATATATGTGTGTGTGTGTTTGTGTGTGTTTGTGTGTGTATGTCTGTGTGTGTTTGCGTGCCCACATGTGCTGAGTGAAGCTGACCACACCATGGTAATAGGTTCTAATGACTCTACTTGTGCTACACATAGAAAAGTACTGCAGTAGTGGGTAGATATACAAATCAGCAGCATTTAGTTACACTCATTGCAGTATTGTTATGTAGTCCCAAAACAGCTATTCCAATACTAATATGAATCTGACCTCACACTGTTTTAATGACTGTTCTTTTTGGATTTAGTGCATCATAAAAGCTCAAATTTCAACATTTGATTCAGTTATTCTGGGGCAATAAAGAATTATTTTCCAAAATACTGAATACATAAAAGTGACTAGAGTAACTATTTACACTATACGCTACTTTCTTTACCTTTAAAGAGTTTTATAATGTGTGAGAAAAAAACAGTTTAAAACTGTACTATTAAAACTTTTTTGCTACAACTGAAAGAAGCAGCATTACTGAGTCAGGAAGAAAACCAAACACACTAAAATATGGTGTGTGTATGTTGCTGCGAGTCACCTTGTAAGACCTGAAATAATCATTTAAAAGTCAGAGGTGTCAGGCTGGATCACGTCATATGTCTTTACGCATTAACCTCACACAAACAGGCTGTAAAAGAAGGTCTGCAAACTCTATATTGATGAAGATATGATGACAGTATTAGATAATTCACTTACATCCACTGAAGAGATGTTCTTCACAAGTTTTGACTGTGTTCCTGAGGAGGATTACTCTTTTATGAGGAATAATCTTTCAACCTGCTTGCAGTCATCAGATTCATCTGCTTGAGGAAGGGGTCCAAAGCATAACCGATATTACAAAATGTTCATTTGAACATTGCATGTAGTTACGCTTTTCTAAATCTCCAAATCTTACATAGTGTAGCTTTAATGCAGCTTAAACAACATTTATATTTTATTTGTTTGGCCAAAAATATTTTTTATATTGATCAGTATACTGTATGTAATATGTCCTATATAATAGGGTTTTAGGATTAAACAAGCCAATCGGCTTGTTATAGCAACACCAAACAGCATTAGAACTGGTGCATTTTTACACCCTCTATACTAAATGCTAATAGTGTATGTTTGTTCTCCTCTTCCTTGCCACAGGTGATGTAGTGGCAGGAGAGGCCCCCGTGGATGCAGTCTGGCAGCGGGGTAGGAATGCCTGGGGTACACGGGGAGTCTTCCCTGTGTCCTGTGTGAAGGAGCTAGAGCTGTCTGGCCGCTCTAGGCAGCTGAGCGAGCGCAGTGCAGCGGCACAGGCATCTGAACTCCCCCCTCATGCTTTGGGCCAGGCCCGTGCTCTCATGGGCCTCCACGCTCAGCTAGATGAGGAGCTGGACTTCCGGGAAGGTGATGTTATCACCATAGTGGGTGTGCCTGAACCAGGCTGGTTCCAGGGTGAGCTGGAGGGCAGGACAGGGATCTTCCCTGAGGGTTTTGTGGAGCTGCTTACACCCCTGCGCTCGATCCAGCAGGATCCTGAGCCTCAAAGCCTGGGACATTATCACCACGGCAGCGTGGAGGAAGAGGAGCACATGGAAGAGGAAGAAGAAGAAGAAGACGAAGAAGTGGAGGAGGTGGTGAAGGACAGTGTGGAAATGGAGGCACAGCAGCAGCACCAGGAAGAAGAAGAAGATGAGGAAGGAGGTGTTTATGGAGTTGCTCTGTATGAATTTAGAGCTTTGGAGCCTGGGGAACTGGACTTTGACATTGGAGACAGGATCCGAATCCTTGGAACATTGGAGGATGGCTGGCTGGAGGGGCAGCTGCGAGGCAGAAGGGGCATTTTCCCCCACAGGTTTGTTAAAATGGACACACAGCTTCAGGCTGTGCCCCAAGTGCAGGTTATGAGTGAGGAAACAACCACATCTGAGAAAGAAGAGGGTGACAGTTATACTTCTGATTACAATTCAAGTCAACAAGACCACACTGTACCAGAGTATGACCAGGATTGTGCAACCCATGAGGACCACACTGTGTGGGATCTGGACTACTTTGAGCGAAGGGAGGAAAGCAAAGAGACCTCACAATCTAAAAGCAACTCTCAAGATAGGGAAGTGGCTCAGAGGCAACCTCAGACCCATCCAAGGAGGAGAGAGAGGCCTCCGCCACCGCTTATACAGCCCAATCGGACAGACAGCTCAGCCCACAGAACAGTCCAGAGGACTAACTCGGGTAGCCCAACTCCTCCTAGACCACGGCTGCCTCCCAGGCCCAGCCTCCATGCGCTCAACAACAGGCAGCAGAGTATGGGCACTCGCAATAACCTACCTGAACCTCCTCCAGTTCCCACTACCAGGAGCCAGAGTCTACACCCACCTGGAAGAACCTCTACAAGCCTTCAAAGTAATTTCTCTCGGTCCAGAAACAATGGCCACTACGCCTCCCATGATGGCAGGAACCCCTTCTCAAGCAGAAGTTCTGCCAGCCAGATGGAGAAGAACAGACAGAAGAAGTTGACCCGCCACGCCAGCGTCACCGATTCTGACCTTAGTTCCTGTGCTCATAGTGAGAAGTGGGCCTGGCCTGAGGGGCGGGGCACCAATGGCCTGTCAGCCTCTCACACACTGGACTCATTAGCCGCATGTGCAGGTGACCTGGAGGCCAAGCTTTCCCAGCAGCTGCTGGAGTTTGAGAGAAGTCTTCCAGGTCATGGAGGCGGGGCAAATGAAGAGCAAGGTAGGAGGGAGGAGCTTAACCACAGTTGGAGAAACAAAGTGTCCCGCCACTTCTCCATCCTGGACTACAGTAGCGAGAGTGATATAATTAGAGGCTCCTCATCTCACCCCTCACTGGACTGCCCCTTGCCCCCCATCTCCTCCCATTCTGGCTCAGCCTCCTCTCTAGAGAGACGGAAGACGCTCCGACCCCCTCCACCCCGTCCCAGGATTCTGAGACCACCAGCACCTTCTAGCTCCCACACTCATGCTCCTCTTACAAATGGCCGAGCCGCTCCACAGCCTTATAGGCCGGCCCGCAGAGCTCCCCGCCCGCCTCCACCTTGTCCTCGCCCTACCTCTGATGCACCCCGTCCTCCTCAACAGAGCTCTAACCTTTTATTCTCTGCTGAGGAGGAGGAGGTGCTGCATGAGGATGTGATGATGGCAGAGGAGGTAGAGGAGGCAGAAGATGCACTAGAAAGGGAGAGGGAGATGGAGCAAGAGAGGGAGAGAGAGCAGGAGCAGTACAGACTTCTTCTCAGGCTTGAGGAGGTCGAGAGGGACATTGATATGTACACAAACACCGCCCAGGAGCTGCGTGCCATGCTGGAGGAAGAAGAGCAGGAGGATGAGACAGCGCGGCAGCAGGCAATGGAGAACCTGGAGTTCTGCACCTACACCCTGGAGACACTGACTCTAGAGCAGCAGCAGTTACGAGGTAAGACTGATGTAGTGACTGAGATTTCTGTGTTGTAGGGATGTAAAGCTCTGAAATAAAGATGATTAGATTCTTAAGGAAGTGATTCAGTGCAACATGAAATCTCGATTCGATTGTTTTTCAGAACTACATTTTTAAATTTCTACCAAATGCACAAATATGACTAGAGGAACCAGGTCTATTTACACAGTATTGGAATACAGACAATAAAAACAGTCCACTTTAGTCCATTACAACATAATCAGCTATAACATTCTAAATTGATGCAGTTTAATGTGTTCTATGTATTGCTAACTGATACATAACAGCCATAGATATACTCAGCTAAGGTAATGTCTAATGATGCAAGTCATTTTATATTCAATATTTGTTTTTTTCCCAATATGTTGAACTCAGCAAGTAAATAGAAATTGTGCAGAAAAAATGGGCATATTTGCATATTTAACTTTGTTTCCTGTAGAGGACATATTATTTTCAACAGTGTGTAATTTAAATGGGGTGCTCAGATCTTTGCATGTAACTCTAGCTGCTGATGCCACTACATACCAGATCCACGTAGATTAGCATTTTGATCATCGAATTACTGAATTTCCATGTACAGTAGTAATGGTGTATCTGTTTTGTTTGTAAATGTTTGAATCACAACTACTAAAAAGCCAGCATGTAAATTACTCTTTCGCATGTGGTTGGCAAAGGTACTACAAAGAATGCTGCTTGCATACTAAGTCACTAAGAATCTCACAATACAATTCAGTTCAATTAGAAGTGTGTTGGCTCACTTTCCTTTGTTTTCAAAGCATCTCGTTTACTGTTTCACTCTTGTTTCAGAGTCGTTTTACAGCAAAGCAAACCTACATGAGTACATATTTGCTGAGTGATCGCTTACATATTTACTGACAGAACTGGCTTTGTAGACTATGATCCACAACCCCATGATCTGCTTAAGGAAATGTCAAAGCTACGTGTATATTAAGTGTATTACTGTGTTTTAAACCTAAATACGATTAAGTCTATCATTGTTTCTCTGTGCATTTACTCTATACATGTAATGTCAATAAAATAAGGCAGGTTTGCAGGAACTGTGGAAAAGGACAGATTCAGTTTGTCAGTTAGCAAAAGAACTCTTAAAAGTAGCCTGCACAGTCCAAAACAACAGATTCTGAAATGCATAGATTACACCTTTAAAGATAAGCTGTTTGAACTCATCTGTCTTACAGTCAGCAGCCCATACTCTTAGCACTCCTGTGTAGTATGCAGCAGCCTCCCTGGCACTGCGTAGCTCTCTGTTTGACCCCATGACACCTGCATGGGACCCCTTTAATCAGAATGTAGGAAACACCCTGACCCTGGCTCATAAAAAGTAGCTGGACTCTGATGTAGATAGATATTATGCTTGACTCAGCCTTTAGTCATTCCGGAAGGAGAAGGACAGCGAGGAGTAAAACCTCAACATTAGCACTGTAGTTCTTAAGTTCTGAAGCTCAGTTTCAGCAGAGTGAGGCACTTTTCACAGGACTCACTAGAGTGTAAATTGAAGCACCGAGACCAGAGTGGCCACTATAACAACACACAGTGAGGGTGTTCTGGACCCATGGCCACCATTAGGGTGCAGTCAAGCTGTCCAGAGCATGCCGAGAACTCATGAGCTCTTTTGACAATTTTCCTGTGTCTATGCAGTGATTTTTACTAATGTGCTATGCCAAAAAACCTAAATAGTGTCCTCTAGAATTATTTGCACCCTTGTAAATATGAACAAAAAATACAAAATATTATAGGATTATTGCATAACATTACTCTAGGTGGAGAAGATAACTGTGCCAGTATTTCTGGAAGACACTGGAAAATTCAGAGACCAACTTTTATTTATTTAATTTCCAGTCAAAATAGACATAAGGTAAAAGTTATTAATTTTTCATTTTTCAGATATTTTGAGAGGCTTAGAAATTGAAATTGGGACCAGATCCACGTAGATTAGCATTTTGAATCCACTGGCATCAGGAAGGGGAAATTCAAAATAAAATAAAATAAACAGGAAAAAAACAAACTGTGTGAGTCTGAAAGCATGTGCAGCTGTCAAGAAGCTGTTAATGAGAAAAGGAAATGGACAAAAAAAAAAGAAGAACAGACAGTCCAGAGTTCAACATCTATTGGATGTGTTTGGGATTACTTGAATCGTGAGGAGTAGAAAATACAGCCGACTTCTAAGACTGAAGGTGTGGAAAAATACCTCTGCAGATTTTTTTTTGTTAAAAATGACCATAAAAAATTAGTAACTTACTGTTTTGACTGGAAATCATATAAATGACAGGGTGGCCTCTGACTTTTGCACAGCACTATATGTATGTATGTATGGTCAAATTACGTGTTTTGTTGATGAGTGAAAAGAAGTACACATCCTCTACAGAGAACTCACACCTGCGCCTATTAATACACAATTACTATTTATGTACTGATTTTAACATACTGGGGGAGTGGAATAAAACATAAAATGTGTTATGTGGAAAAGTTATGGCACATTTTATATTTTGTCTTACTTCTTTCCAATATGTTAAATTTAATACAAATACATAGAAATTGTGCATTGAAATTTGCAGAGAAATCTCATGTTTAAGTTTGTCTGTAGAGGGTGTGGTTAACTTTGTATTGTGGTACATATTCTGATACAATAAAAGGGCTACATAGTAATTTCATGTTGTGATTGCAATAAAGTAGACTCAAAGCAGCTTGAAGTATGCTTCTTACCCAGAGTGAAGTGTTTCATAATTGCTTTAGCAGGGGTATGGGAGCATGTTACTAAGGTGCAGAATGCTGAGCTTTTCTCACATAGCCTAAATGTGAGGAACATTTCTGACCCATAGTGAGGAACTATGTTTGAGGACCTCCTTCATTCTGTGTATCTGTTTGTACGGGTGTAGTTCATATTAGTGTTGCCAGGGCTGTGTGGAGCCCATGGGGCAGTCAGGGATCAGCGCCTGGCTCTGGAGCTCTATCATGCGGCCTGTGACGCGGCTCACAGCCCTCTTTGGCCACATTCTACACACCAGGGCCGTGCGTGTGCCAGGTAGGACTTAGAGGTGGGAGACTGGCCGAACACAGCATCACGGTCATACCTTGTAACTCGGAAATGGTAACGTCATAGGAAAAAATGTTAACACCTGTTAATGTAACTTAAGAAGTCTTTATCACAGGCAATAACAAAAGCATGACGTAATTTGATATGAACTATTTTTCACTTGTAGCTTGTTGAAACAAGCAGAGAAATTCTCTCAGAAGTGCAGATCCTAACTTTTAAAGAATACCACAATTGTGTTTATAAGTAGTTTGATTATGATGATTTTTTTATCATGATTTGAATTTTATGAAAAGGTTATTTGTTGTGCAAACAGCCTTGGTTGTGGAAAGACATTTTCCATTTTTGCCATGTTTTGTTGTTTTGTTGACATCAAAGCAAACAAAAAAGTCAGAAGTACAGACTTAAACTGCTCATATAGAATGTAGAGAAAATGTATTTAACTACGTAGTTCACTATGCAATTAAACATGTAGTCTTATTACATTTGAATAGTATTGCAAATGAAAGAAATGACTCTCTAATACACATTTCTAATGGTTCTTTCATCATGAAATGTTATACAATGTAGGGAATGATTTAAACAAGTTTAAAAAAACATAAAAAATTGTGAAGAAAAATAATATTACAAGGTTTTCTTATGACAGCAGCGACTGGAAAATGGCCAGTGGTCAGTGAGTGTATTTACAACTGGTGGGTAAAAGTGTTTAAAATTATATTTGAATGAGTTTTGAGCATATTCTGCTGTTGTTGGGGTTGTTTTTGTACCTGTGTGGTATTTATGGCATGCTCTGTATGCAAGAGTCAGTATCGTAACCTGAATGTTTGTCATGGTAACGCACACAGCTCTGCGGACACTTTATTTGATGAGTATACTTTATGCCCATAACCTTAGTTTCACTCTGAGAGAGGAGGAATTTCTCATCCTCTGTGTATTGGAATCCTTCTTGACCCTTCTTTGGATTCAATTAAAGATGACTGAATGAAGATTTATTACATGAAATTAAAAAGTAATTTAATTTATGGTTTTGTCAACCTTTCTTATTGTGCTCAGTGCCCTCCTATCGTCCTTTGGACCACTGCCCGCATGACTGAGCTAGAACACTGGCAGCATTCATGAACATGTAGTAAAAAGTTTGAGTCCTGTTAAAGTGTCAGTGTTTAATATACGTAAGATCTGTTGTAATCGTCCTTGCTAAAAGTTTACCTCTGTGTTCGTGTAGAGTGTTATGAACAGCAGTGTTTGCTGATAGGTTTCTTTTGAAGTTTGTGTGTTTTTCCATATCATAGTAGGGCGTGTTTCTCAGCTGGGAGGGAGGAACAATAATGGCTGCTTATTGTGTCACTGTGGGGAGTCAGGCGGGAGTGTTCACAGCACCCAGTGCAAAGTCTTGACGGAAGGGTGGAGAAGTTCTTGGGAGTGACTGAGTGAGAAAAAGGGGACTAGACAGGAGAAAGTTAGAGAAACAACAAGAAAAAAGAGACAGCAGCACAAAACATGTTCATATTACTTTAAAAGCCTTTATTTAAAAAAAAAAAAAGAGAATTTTGATTTTTTATTTCTTATCTGTGTCAAACTCTTCAAATGTTAAACAAATCTAAGAAATTACCAAATAATTTAAACAACTAATGAGCTGATGAACCATAGTGTTTCTAATTCGCCAGCGTCTTGTTCAGATTTTCCCATTCCACTTTAACTGGTGCAGCAGTTACCCTTTGGCACATCAGATCTAACAATGTAACTGCTGCACCATTTAAGGTGGAATGGGAAAACCCAAACAAGACGCTGATGAATAGAAACCTAACTTTAGCCCCATGCCTAAATGAAGTAATGGTAAATTTATCTCTGACTTGCATGTCTGTAGTTACAGTCAGTGCATTGGAAATTACTAAAGTAGAGGGGACATGTATATATCATGGCTTGATAGCCA